TCAACGTATTGTTGACGATGCCTCCTGGATCGATGCCAAGTGTACGATCAAATTTAAGAATGTAATATTGGATAATACTCTGATCAATAAACAGAAAATTTGAAATCTAATCTATTAATATATAATAAAGATTAACTTAAATCATTTTTAGTAACATTTTCTCGCCATCAGCATTAATTACTTACTATAGATGGAAATAATATAATACTATTTAAATAAAAAATAAATCATTAATTGTGTAGCTTCCATATAACTCAGATTTCATTATGTGTTTATTTTAGACAATTATATGTTTTCTTTAATTAAGTTAATAGTTATTTTGTAGATAAAAGGTTATTTTGGAATTTTGATTTATGTAGTTGATTTCTTGTACATAATTATGTATCTTATTTTGGAATCTTCATTTATAGAGGATTCTTTTTTGTTTTAATTAGAATCATTAATTTAGATTAGCACATATGTTATATACACAAAGTACAATTTTATAGTAATATTTAAATTTATATGGCGCCAATTTTAGAATTCTCATTGATGCAAGATTCTTTTTGATTTCATCATATTTATTAGAATAAATGATTTAGGTTACCATATATATACACAAAATATAATTTTATAGTAACATTCAAATTGGTTTATTCATTGTAGCAAATTCTGGAAATAAACTATTTATTATGATATATATATATATATATATATATATATATATATATTCTCTTTTATGTGAGATATATACAAATCCTCATTTTTTATTATCTTTTACTATTTTTTTGAAACAAAGTTTTTGAGATTTTGTATAGGAAATCGATTTTCTATTGATTGTATTGATAAAAATATAAATCTGCTAGACAAAAACTATATATATATATATATATATAAATCTACTACATAAAAAATATTCATACATATAATATAATAGGGTAGTGGTCCAATTAAAAATTGTTCGATTTAAAAAAAATTAACGTGAATTAATGTCTAATTACACATATTATATAATATTTAGGTATTTTTAATATTTTAAATATACATGTTTAATGTTCTTTTATAAAATATAAAACTATAAAAGTAATGATAAATATTATTTCGCTAATTAAGTATAATCGATATTAAAATGATAAACTAACAACTCATTGTCGAACTGTCAGGTAAATTATCATATTATATGTAGATTATTCTGATCTTAGAGTTTCATTTAAGTTCCAACGGCATCTATTCTTACTTATTGTTATGTATGTCATTACAATAAATAAAAATCAGAGTCAGATTTTATCGTACTTTGACATTTTTCTTAAATAAATTAGTTTTTAGTCACGCCTATTATATGTTGTTGTTTCGCATGAAAATAATAGAAATGAGTTTAAAATATTAGTTTTTGGGGACAACAAGTTGCCAAGTAATCAAACTAATAATAGCGTACAATGAGGTTCTTAATAATATATTATTTTGTTATAATGAATATTTTATGATTTTACAATTTACCTACGTAATATCACTATTTTATTTATTAATACACTTCAAATTATAATATTCTCCAAAATAAATACAGTCTGTGCATCGCACGGGTTACGTACTAGTATATTCCAAAAAAATATTGGCCAATGGGGTATTTTATTTTATTTTATTTTATTTTTTTTATTTTTTTTTTTACAGGAGGATCTAAACTGGTTCCCCAATTCCCCTCCGGGTGACTCGAACTTGGGATCTGGGTTGGCCAATGGTATTTGAATTTTGATAATATGCCAACAAAAAACGAACCTCCAACAAATTAATTATCTTCTTAGTGAGAAAAGTATAACAAGTTTTGACGAATGGGGCTCGAATTACAAACCTATGATTGCACCGTAATGCATGTTGGCGTAAGGCTCCTCCCCAGTGAGAATCTCCCATAAGACAATACCAAATGAAAAGACATCGACCTATTGGATGAACAATTCAGCACAAATATAACATTATAGAATAAAACATATATTGAATATTGAAGATTGTTTGTTTACAGGTTCATGGGCAATGAATCAGTGGAGAAGATTTAAAAGAATCTCGAATTATTGAACAATGATTAATAATTGGTAAATTTTCTACGAATTCGATTTTTCTGAAAATATGCAAAGCATACGCAGTCAAATCTAACCTTCTCAGAAACTTTATTGCTACTTCCATTCAGAAGCTCCGGGGCCATCCATGGAAGAGTTCCTCGAACTCCCCCTGAAACCAAGGTGTTCCGCTTTATTTTCGACAAACCAAAATCCCCAACCTGACAAATTTAAGGCCGAAATCAGAATTTAATCGGCTATATCATGATATTGAGAATGTCAAACATCTCCATATGCTAGTAGGATGACAACAAAATAGTTCATTTTCTTAAGTTTATCATAATCATTCAACTGACATAGGAAGTAAAGTTTCCACCGAGACTTTACTGACTTACCTTGCATATAGGTCTTGAAGGATCTTTCATGTTAACCAGCAAATTGTCGCATTTCAGATCAAAGTGTACTATGTTCTTCGAGTGCAAATATTCCATTCCAAAAGCTGCATCCATGGCAATTATGAGTCTTTTCCGACGATCAAGATGCCTGCAAATTTTGCATTCAAACAAACAAACGCAAAAACAAAA